GTCTAATTTCTTCACAACAACTGTTATGGAGCAGTATTTGCAAAGGGACCCTCAGGGGACCGGCTATATGCACAGTGAGCTGCCTTCCTGGTGGGTCCGTCAAACACTCAAACTCAGGTAAACTCTCTGGTGAAAAAGGCAGTTTGTTTTATTTACTTTTAATCCTGTGCTCGGCTTTGGCTCATTGGAATGTGTTTGCAGTGCACCTCTACAAGGAAAATGCTTCAATACACCTCAGGCAAGAAAGCGTGGTTACAAATACATAGGGCAAGAAAAGAGTCTGAAAGAGTTGAAAATGAACTAGTTCACTGCGGCGTATTCTCATGACTGTTTTAGATATTACCATAATACTTCTAGATTTGGTAGGCAGACTTTTTGGCAACAAAGATGAGAACAAAATGTATGAATGAATTATAATATGCTTGATAGTTTCTTATGTTAAAGTAGTACTAGAATTGAATATGCTGCTATCCAGAATATATAACTACAATATGTGTTTATAATATTTCGGGTGTTCATGTTGACATATTCAGATTAATTATGTTAAAAAAACAGCTTTGAAGTGGCACCTTATAACAAACGCTAGGGGGCGCCAAGATGGCGGCGATGACGTAGGAGAAGGACCTCTCACAGCAGCAGCAGCAGTCTGGGCTGAATCTGTAGGAGGTTTCACTGTCATCTGAACAAGGTATAAACATATTTATACCTTGTTATACCTTGTTATAAATATACATATTTATAATCAAAATAACTTGAATTAAATAAATATTTTACTTTAATGAACAAAAAGCTGCAGAAGTTGAAAACATAGACTACATGTGATGCAATCATTGATAAAAAATGCTAATTAAACCGTTAATAGGTGTTAGCATTTATGGATATTACAATGTACATTGTGGTAAATAAATCTAAGGCAACCAAAGTGAGACTGGCATAATGTAAAAACGAATATTAGCCTTGTTAGCATGTTTTATGATATCAAGTAGAGTTAGCTAACTTGCCCAACACTAATTAGCTTGATGAAAATATGTTTATACCTTGTTCAGATGACAGTGAAACCTCCTACAGATTCAGCCCAGACTGCTGCTGCTGCTGTGAGAGGTCCTTCCCCTACTTCATCGCCGCCATTTTGGCTCCCCCTAGCGTTTCTATGCGGAAGTGAAAAGGTGTCACTTCAAAGCAGTTTTTTTTTTACATAATTCATCTGAACATGTCAAAATGAACACCCGAAATATTATAAACACATATTGTAGTTATATATTCTGGATAGCAGCATATTAAATTCTAGTACTACTTTAAGTAGTTATCGATCAAGGGAGATGTAAAACATTCAAAATACACATAATTATGTATAGCTGCCACAATATGTGCTGTGGCATCAATATATTGTAGATGAGAACCTTGTATAGATGCCACAGTACATATAATGGCATCTATACAAGGTTCTCATCTACAGTATATATAGATGCCACTTTATGTACAGCAGTATCTTTACATACTGTAGTTCTCACCTACAATATGGATAGATGCCACATGTATACAGATGCTACATTCTGTACTGCAGTATCTATACATAGTTCGCATCTACAATATGTATAAATGCCACAATTTCTATAGCAGCATCTATACAGTTCTCATCCACAATATGTATAGAAGCCACTTATTATGTTGTTTTTACCATGGCTAAATTGAGGGTCCAAAACCCAAACCATGTGCTAAATATCCCAGATTAAATGTCACAATTCTTCCAACTTCCACAAACTTTAAGATCCAATAACGTTCTTTTTATAACTTAAAGAGAAAGTTTTGCATCAGAATATATACAACATAGACAAATATCTGCCCAAACCCACAATTCGTCACCTCTATATTGGAAATAACCAATAGATATAACTGCAATTCCCTTCTGTCAGAGAGCTGCACAATTTATAAAAATGATATTGAAACAAATCCAACTGATAGCATCTTTGAATGCCTTAAGGCTTTTTCACAGCAGATGAAAAATGTGCCGCTAATTGGAAAAAGGTACAATGGAAGATCACACAAGTCTTCAATATTCATCCAAGTGTCATGGCTTTGATGGATGTGACTCGTGAAAAAACAATGTTCCGGTGTTGCTACTTTTCCAGCTCCAGGGAAAACAAAAGATTATTCAAAAAATATATATTGTCCACCAAGAATTGTTCATAATTTGGCAGAAAAAAACAATAGTCATGAATAAGACAAAGGTACGCACACTACATCTCCCTGTCCAACTCAATTTGATATATTTTTCTCTGAGGACTTGTCAATTCCTCAACAACAGAAAAGCGGAATGACCAATGTCGATAAATGTTCAACCCATAAACCCTATATATGAATATTTCTTTAGTTTTCCATATTTATTTCACTCTGTGTTGTCCATCCTCTCATAATAATAATGCGTTGGTTTTATAGAGTGCTTTTCTGGACACTCAAAGATGTCATTAATCTTTCACTCCAAACACGCTGGTGATTAACTACTAGGGTAGCCACAGCTGCCCTGGGGCACACAGACAGAAGCGAGGCAACCAGTCTATGCCTTCGGGCCTCTCCCACCACCACTAGCATTCTCACACACACACCAGACTCACTTTAATGTGGGTGAAGTGTCTTGCCTAAGGACACAACCCCAGTTTGGCACTTTACAGCCGCAGCCGCCCCACTGTGGCACCTGGTGATCCCAGAGGTCTCCCATCATAACACTAACCAGACAATGCCCTTTTTAGCTTCAGAGGTCTGACAGGATCTGGCTTTCACCTGCAGGTATGGCCACGAACGCATCTCAAATCAAGCTTTCATACTCAATACTCAGGTAAACAATGAATGAATCCGTCTCAAAGCGTCTGCAGCTCTGGATCTTGCTATTTTAAGTCCGTTAGCTTCTTGAAAAACATACAAAGGGTTGGTAGACTACAAAATCATCTGAAGCTTTAACTTAGATCTTCCTGGCGTCATAAATGTGGAATATTCTTTGAACAAATAGAGTAGTAAGTAAGTAATCTTTATTTATATACCGCCTTTTCACTGCAGATCTGAGTCTCAAAGCAGTTTTACAATTGTTAATTTTTGGGCATTTGTCTCTCACTCCACACAGAGATGGGAGCGGGGTCGCCAGTACAGGAGGCGCATTCCTGAACTATTGGACATATTTTTTAGTGGTAGGGGAAACCGGAGCACCCGGAGGAAACCTACGCAGACACGGGGAGAACACGCAAACTCATTCGAACCCAGGACCTTCTTGCTGAGAGGCGAGAGTGCTATCCACTCAGCCACCGTGCCGCCATAGAGACTGGTAAGATGTCATGGTCTGAACTCTTTGATGACTTTTACCTGGATTTATTTTAAAACGGGTTGTATTGTTTGTTTGTTTTAAGATTTCAGTGTCCTGTCCCCCCTAATGTGTGTCACCTGTGTGTCCCTGTGTGTATTTAAACCATGGGCTCCTCTGGTTGTGCGTCCCTGTGTGTATTTAAACCCTGTGCGCCTTTGGTTGTGCGCCTCCCCTTGTCCTTGGTCCATTATGATTTTATTCTACTGTGTCCATTTTTGTTTTGTGTTTTTTGTATTAAACCTTAAACTTTTGGCTGTCCTGCATTTTGGGTCCTTCTTCTATTCTCTCCACATGACACGACAAAACTCTTTTCTGATTAAATATTCTGAATAAATATGTCCAAAGGTTATATAAGACCCCACTCGGTCACTTGGCTAATAATTGCCCATAAATGTCCTTTTTAATGCTTGTGTGTTGCATCCCTATCTGAACGCACATAAGTTCACAGTTGCATTCTTATTCAACGAATGCCGTAGCACATAATCTATACTGACTATTTTCCAAATCCTCATTAGTCATCTACACAATTAACCAGTAAACATTGTGCGACATCCATTCAATAAATTCTGAACATCTTGCATTTTCCAAATAATCAACACATTCAGGCCAAAAACGCAGCTGCGACTTTGACGTAAATAAATGTCAATGTGGCTTTTGCGACAATATACACGCAGACGCTCCCAATTAGCTGTTATTGTTTATTGTCTATTGAATAAAATGGCTCCGGATGTCTAACCAGCACACTCCATCCCATCGTCCACAAAGCCATTACTGACAGTCATGGGCCGATACTTTTTGGAATGAGGGAGAATTCTGGACCTGGAGGTTCTTTCAGACTTTTGTTCTTTCAGTTTTTCTTCCCTCTGCAGCTTTAATTAACATACTTCAAAGACGGAAGCGCGAGCAGCAAAAGTTTAAGTTCTCTGGTTTGGAAATGGCCCAACGTACAGGAACGTTGAAAGGGAAAGTGTGTTTATTGAAAAGCTTTGGGCAATAGTTAATTGATACAGTAGTTAACAGATGAAGGTTACTCATGATGATGCCAAATCTTTAAAAAATAAGAAAAACATATAGGAAAATAAGTAAAATACTGCTTAAAATAAGACAAATGATCTTCCAAGAGAACAGGAAAAATATGACGACAAGATTTCTGAATTGTTAATAATTTGACTCCATAAAACAATTTTCCTTAATTATTCATGTATTTATTTATTATTATTATTATTATTATTATTAATATTATTAGTTTATTAATTAATTATTTAATTGTTTTGATTTATTTATGTGTTTATTTATTTATTATTTATTTTCCACATTTAATTAATTCATTATTATCATCATTAATAATTAATTTAATGTATTTTGTGAAGCGCGACATCAGCAATCCTTGAGGACATTACAACATTGTCAATTCTTCAACAACTGATCAGAGAATCAAACAGTTCCAATACAGGCAATCATACCAACAACACATAGGAGTCATTCATCTGCAGGGGGTGGATGACCAATGTCGATAGATATTAACAAATGCCCATTAAAATAATACATCACATTATAAAAACATAGTATGAGTAGTGCTTTAACTTGAACTCCCTCCTCTCCCAGTTTGCAGTAGACTTAGTGACCCCCGTTTCTCTCTCTTTCTCCGTTATGGCTGCTTGACTGGTCCCTTCATGATTGCATCTCGCTCTGGGTCATCTTTGGTCACCCGGAACACCTGTCTGTAGGAGGCCCCGGTCGGCAGGTGCGAGAAAAAGCACTGACCGTTGCCCTTCTGTCGCCCCGCCGCCACCCCAGGGGAGCTCCTGACCTCTGGAACACGATCCTCACGTCCAGATAACTCCATCAAACAAGCCGCGAAAACCAATTGTGTCTTCAAAGGCGATAGCGGCGTTAGCACAGTTAGCCGATCCCTTCTCTCGATCCGGTCTTGGCTCGTTCTGTGATGCATTGTGGGCCACGAGGGCTGTTGGACTGTCGCTGTGTGTGATTGATCAACCCATTATGCTGGATAAAAGACGAAACAAACTACGTCGAGTCTTGGCAAGTCCTTTTACACGACACATCAGAAAACCTTTCAGCTGATCAAATATGCTTCTTGATTCTGGCCCCCGAGACGGCGCATTCTGACAAACATAAATAGACTGGAGAGGATTTGATAATAACGTTGTGTTGTGTTTGATGTTTGATGGCTGTCTGCTAAGAATAAACAGCTGTATTTATACTTAAGTGTATTTAAGAGCGAAGAATGAGCTGCTTTCAAGGGATTATTTGATTATATTTATTTAATCTTTAATTTACTTTTATTTAATCTTTAATTCAGACACACAAGGGTCCATATAAAACCAACACAATAAAAAAAGAGAGCCTAACACTGCTCTGTACATGAAAAGAAAAACATTAATTATTACATTTAAAGAGTCCGCAGAGCGTTTCGTGAACCTATAAATAAAATGTCTGATCACAGCATTCAGAGTGGGGACATTATTCAGAACAAACAGTGAGCTGGCACTAGTCCAACGAGGGACTTTCAGTAAAATTCTAAGTGCATCATCGTATGCAACCTGCAGCTTCTGGAACTTACTCTTACTGTATCTGCACCACAGGGGGCAGTATAGAGCCGTGTGCAGTAAATAAGTAATGTTTATTTATATAGCGCATTTTACAGACCTAAAGCACTTTACAATGTTCAGAGTCAGATATTGTTCCAATCCTTCCACACACGGTGATGACAGAAGCGAGTCCAGAACACACTGGACCATCAGCTCCAACACCATCCATTCACTCTCTCATTTACATTCAGACCTATTGTGCATGGTTTTAGTGGTGGGGAAAACCGGAGCACCCGGAGGAAACCTACGCAGACACGGGAGGAACATGCAAACTCCACTCAGAAAGGCACTGTTGAAGTGTCTGGGGGTGAAGTGTCTTGCCTAAGGACAACCTTCTGGCTCAAAGGCCAATGCTCTACCAACTGAGCTCCTGTCGCCCTGACCAACTGTTTGTAACAAGTCCTCTTTCACAAATACATATCAGGTTCCTTCTGTTTATTCATCCTGATTGAGAACAGATTTATTAACGTATTTAAGGTCTCATGCACGCAAGACACACTTTGTTACGTTCAATCCAATGAATCATTCAAGACTTTAGTAACATCTATTATAATCTCAAATTAACTCATAATTAAGAATGTACCCGTTCATTTAACGCCTGTGCTTCTTCCCCAAACATGCGCTGATTAAAAAAATCAAAATTCAACACAGACAGAAGACATATGAATAAGATCATCATTACAGAGAACAACAAGCTGCTCTCCTGCTGAAGTCAATCCGGTCTCATGATTAATCACGGCTCGGCCTCGATCCTGACGTAAACAGTGCAACTTGATAACAGACTCGGTTTAAAGATAAAAAAAAGGCGCTAATAGCTCGGGGAGTGGTGGGTTCCTCTGAGGCCCGGAACTAAAGCTGGCACGGTCTTGTGACGCTCACACACTCGCACTGATGGCGTCGCTGGCTGGTTGCTCAAGCCTTCGGGGCGTTCTGATAATTCACCGCTTAGAAAAACATGATCTTAAAATACAGCGTGATTAGCCGCGGTCGCTAACTTGTGGCTAGTAGTTTTACTTGTGCAGGCTGTCTCTGAAGATGTAGAAGATATAGATATTCCCAGGAACCCATCACAAGCAGCTATTGATGGAAGATTCTAAATGTACGTGTGATAAAGTGGGAGTGGATAGCAAAGTCTGGGCGCCTCTGCTCGGACTGCTGCCCCTTGTGCCCCGGGACTGGATAAAGTGGAAGAAATTGGATGGATGGATGAATGTGTGACAATGCTTTTGTAACTCCACAATCTGAGCTGCTCTCTGCATTTTTTGACAATTAAATGTATGCCATGTTGTATTAGTTTTTGTGGTTTTAAAATAAGGCACTCCATCTATAAAATAAATGCATAAATATATGGATGGATGGATGGATATATACAATACAATCAGACATTGGATGGATGGATGGATATAATCAGAAGCCCCCGCTGAAAGATCTCCTGTGGACTCAGCACCTGCAGGAGGATCAGTGAGGGGCTGGTGCTCTGTGAACTGGGTGCAACTCTGACTGCCACCCCCCGACCCAGAAATGGATAAAGGGGAAGAAAATGGATGGATGGATATACAGTATTATACAATCAGACATTGGATGGATGGATGGATATAATCAGAAAGTGACAGTGGCTCAGTTGATAGAACAATTGGCCCCTCAAGGTCTTGGGTTCGATCCCACCACGAGACATTCTCCCACAGATGTCTGCTGTCATTGTGTCCATGGGAAAGATGCTAAAACCCACTTCGCCTGAAGCCCCGCACTGACAGATCAAGGTGGTGACAGAGCAGCCATCCTCTTGGAGACTCACCACCTGCAGGAGGATCAGTTAGGGGCTGGTGCTCTGTGACTTAGCTGGCATCTCTGACTGCCCCCTTGAAGATGGATGGATGGATGTACAGATTCAGATTCATTTAATCGCCATTTGCATTGAAACCACATTGGAAAACATTAGCAAAAGTCCCCAGTGTGCACTAAACAAGTACATGCATATAACAACATTAAAAGTGCAGAAATAATACAAGTAAAACAGCAAACAATTGTCACTGTGAAATTGATCGGCTAAAACGGTTTCAATACAAAGTGCACGAACATTAAAGTGCTCTGTTTAAACTGATAACAGCTTGTGGAAAAAAAACTGTTAGCATATCACGATGTCCTGCATCTCAGAGAACGATATCCTCTGCCAGAAGGAAGAAGCTGGAACAAGGCTTTTCCAGGGTGGCCAGAATCAGAAGGTAAATCACCAAGTATCCACTGATCATCATTGCATATGTCATAATAGCAAATATCTACTAGAAATGAGTTGGCTGAAAAGACACAATATGTCATGGAATTGATATAACTTGTTTTAAATTCTAACAAAGTAGACATCAGCGAGACATGCAGCGTTTTGGAGATCCAGCAACTCACTGAGCTGACGCAAAGCCATTATGAAAGAGAGAGACTGACAGAGAAGCTCCAGGCCCCAACCCTGAAGGACCCCCTCACCAATCGCCCTCTACAAGCACCATTGTCCCGAGCCTCAACCACTCTTGAAAATCTGTCCTTACAGCAAGTATTGGCAACTTTTAACCAGGAAGACAAACTATCAAAATATAGTCGATAACTTTCTCTCTGTCAAAGTATTTCTGCATTATTCAGAGCTGTAGGGACCACTACAGTCCGGTAGTCCAGACGAGAGATCTTCAAACATGTTTGCCATGAAGTGGACAGGCATCAAACTATTGAACTCCTGGATTATTTTTTGTCTCTTTGAAAAAACAAAAACACAAACTTGCCTTTCTCGCTTTCCGAAAATTACAGAGAAAGAATTACAGTAGGGCATCAGAACACATAACTGAAATTACAAGAATTGCTTGGAGAAAAAGGTGTCAAAAAGGCCCAATATACAGTAGTTCTGACTTACTGCCCTCAACGGTCGCGCAATCGCATCAGGCGAGCACAATAATTTCTTTCAGAGCTTGAGTGCAAGGATGCTGGTGGGTGTCATATTCAAGCCTTTGGGAAAAATATAACCTATTTAGAAACCACATAAGACAGTTTTTCTCAGCCTTGACCTCTGCAAAGCGGCAACGGCAGAGAAAAACGTATCTCCAATGCATCGTGGTCACTGCTGCGGCCTTCAGACTGAGGAAAGAGAACAGAATCACACAGAATATACATTAGAGTTTTGTTTTTTCTTTTGCCTCAACAGTATAAATTAAGGATATAGACATTTTATTAATGGGTTTTGACATTTGTGATGATGTCTAAGGGGAAGAGGACTCACTATATGTTTCTATTCAGGCAAGTTCTTACTTTGAATGTGTATTAATGTAGTTTATCTCAGAGGAACATTTGCCAACACAGATCAGAGAATCAAACAGTTCAAACACATGGAGACTTTGGTCCATAATGGGCAGATGACCAATGTTCATAAAGTCCAGGCCGAGGGAGACAGTCCTCAGGTGCCAATGAAAGAGGCTGGGTTCAGGGGTCAACTCATGAAACAGGCTGTGAGACAACGAGTAAATAGCAATGAACAGACTACAACAGAGTATTATGGAAGATAAAGGGGGAAGAGTGGAGGATAGTGCTACTTTTGTACAACTGTTTTACAACAATCTGTTCAGAGACTATAGAGCTACATTCACACACTGCTACAACCAGATACAACGCCTCTCTGTGTTTACGTAAGTAAGTAATCTTTATCTATATACCGCCTTTCACAGACCAGAGTCACAAAGCGGTTTAAAATTGTGGCCATTTGTCTCCCACTCCACAGAGAGCGAGGTCGCCAGTACAGGAAGAACATGCCAGACCTATTGTACATGAATATGAAAATCCATTGGATGAATGATAACTTTGTGAAAAAATGCTATTGGACCATTCAGCATTTTACTTTGGACTAGAGCAGAGAAAATGGTCCGAACCAAGCGGCTTCTCAACCTTGTGACCTGTCCTGCTCCACCCAGAGGCTCCTCCACCTCTGCTGCTGTGACCCGTCCTGCTCCACCCAGAGGCTCCTCCACCTCTGCTGCTGTGACCCGTCCTGCTCCACCCAGAGACTACTCCACCTCTGCTGCTGTGACCTGTCCTGCTCCACCCAGAGGCTCCTCCACCTCTGCTGCTGTGACCCGTCCTGCTCCACCCAGAGACTACTCCACCTCTGCTGCTGTGACCTGTCCTGCTCCACCCAGAGGCTACTCCACCTCTGCTGCTGTGACCCGTCCTGCTCCACCCAGAGGCTACTCCACCTCTGCTGCTGTGACCCGTCCTGCTCCACCCAGAGACTACTCCACCTCTGCTGCTGTGACCCGTCCTGCTCCACCCAGAGACTACTCCACCTCTGCTGCTGTGACCTGTCCTGCTCCACCCAGAGGCTACTCCACCTCTGTGCTGTGAGCCGTCCTGCTCCACCCAGAGACTACTCCACCTCTGGTGCTGTGACCCGTCCTGCTCCACCCAGAGGCTACTCCACCTCTGGTGCTGTGACCCGTCCTGCTCCACCCAGAGGCTACTCCACCTCTGGTGCTGTGACCCGTCCTGCTCCACCCAACCTGAAGCGCTGTTGCTGATTGCTACTATTGTTATTTTGAATGATCAATTTTATTTGTTATTTTTGCTGCTACTGGACACCTGAATTTCTCCGTCAGGGATCAATAAAGTATCTATCTATGTTTTTAGTGGAATGGGAAACTGGAGCACCCGGAGGAAACCTACGTAGACACGGGGAGAACATGCAACATCCACTCAGAAAGACCCTGTTCTGACTGGATTTGAACACCTTCTTACTGAGAAACGAGTGCTAACCACTCAGCCACAATGCCGCCCATTTGGCTGATGTACTGTAGGTACAGGTTGGCTAGTTATTTTTTAGCCATGTAGACCAAACAACATAACATTCCACTATTTCACAGAATGTACAGTACATATGATTTCTTTGTTTCTCACTGAAATATTAAAAATAAAACCATAGAAGAGCACAGACCTGGATCCAGACATCTGGTTCATATCCCAAATGTATTACTCTGTTCGTTGAGTTTTCCAGATGTTTTGTAAACTAACAAAAACGCAAACTTCTCGGTGATGATTTGTGGTCGGTGTATTTTTTGTTCAAAAAAAAATTGAAAATGAAATATCTCAAAAAGGCTTGAATTTCCATTGTTATTTTGATAAGGAAAAGGACAAACTAAATATTGAAAAATGGTTTAAGGCCGATTTGATTTTTGTTCTTCTTTTTTTCCGATTTGGCGCAACCGGAAGTTGGCTGTGCATCCATATTTTCGTCTTGTTGGAAACTAGACAAACATTCTTGAAGTGAACATTTCAGGTCACTACCTCTTGAAGCTCATCAAGAGAATGCCAAGAGAAAAGCAGTAATCAGAGCAAAAGGTGATACTTTGAAGAACCAGAATATAAGACATTTTCAGTTTTTTTTAGTACTTATATCATTATTTATGGGATTAGAAGTGTGTTAAAGCCTTGTGGGGGTAGATCTAAACGGTACACCTGTGTTCCATGTTTCCTGCTCTACCTTAAGATTTCAAACTGGTGTCTTACCTTTTTCTAATTGGATCCTGTTCTTTCCCCACGCGCGACTCTCGGCGGCCTGTCTGGGACCTCCCTGAGTTCATTATACGTTTCCAAGACAGCGAAAAATGCCGCATTATGTAAAATGACAAGGCGAGAAGACGACTCCACGTGTAGAATAATAGATTAGGATTCTCTCTGGAGACGCTTGCCACCTGTCTCCAGCCGTCTTCATAACTCACCGCCCGATGGAGCAATAACGTATGCAACATTAGCCTAACTTGGTGGACCATTCAACGTTATGATTAAAAAATGTGATCCAGGTTTTTCTTTGGGTGCTCTTGCTCGAGGCTTGTTGACGGCATGAGGAAAAATAAGCCTAAGTGAATTTAATAAAACCGAAAAAGGAGGAAATGAGACCCGGGCGTTTTGAAATCAACCCAAATCTGGAATGTTTTACAAAATGATGCCAGAAAATGTGGGATATTAACAAAAGTAAAGCCAGGTCCTGTCAGACCTCTGAAGCTAAGCAGGACAGGGCCCCGTTGGGACTGTGATGGGAGACCTCTGGGAAAACCAGGTGCCACAGTGCGGCGGCTGCGGCTGTAAAGTGCCAAACTGTGCTTGTGTCCTTAAGCAAGACACTTCTCCCACATTAGAATGAGTCAGGTGTGTGTGTGAATGGTTGGTGGTGGTGGGAGGGGCTGGTTGCCTCACATCTGTCAGTGTGCCTCGGGGTAGTTGTGGCTACAGTAGTATAATATGAAGCCATTATTACTATTACTAAGTGTGTAATTTTATTTTATTTAGATATTTTTGTTCCAGAGTCAAAATGCAACATATTTTTTTTGTTTTCTGATTCTAAATTCAATTATAATCCAATAGTTTTTTTGTTTTCTAACAGTCACACCAACACATTTGATAAATATGTATGTCTCAGTGGATAAAGCATAGTTTATTTTGAGAGAAACACTTGTTTGTATTATTTTCATCAAACAGATTGTGCCAAGAGGAAATCACTGAGACAGCTCCACTTCCAGTTGTGATTGATAACGGACACATTCTCACTCACTCAATTATGGGATGGTGAAATTGTTTCTCATTGAAAATCTTCCCATACGACAAAATGCAACCCACCACAGTCAATTTCCCTGTTTCATTAACAACAAGAGAAAAACAGTGAGACACAATCAAATAATACTAGCGGTGTGAACTGAGAGTCAGCTGCTGAGTGAGCGATGGTGGAGCCAAACGATAAAAAAGTAAAACGCCAGAAAAATCTATTCAAATCCTGGTGGAGTTTAAGTGAGACAGGATATTTCTGTCTGAGCAGAGTGGGCCTCGAAAGGTCAACAAAAAGAGAAGCAAGAGAAAAGTATAAGAAAACAAAGTGTAGCGCTAGTGCATTCAATTTATGATTTCATAGTTTTTTGCAGGTACCATGTGCAAAATGGGCTTCGAAAGTTGTATTTTAATTCTGTCTCAATATTTCAATGTATACACTTAATTCTGTTCTATTAGATATCATTGGTACTTGGTAAGTATTTTTTGCTTATAAATGCAAAGCGCCTGATGGGAGATTTTTACTACCATAAATGTATTCAAAACAAGGTCATATTCAATGATAGGTGTGAGCATTTATTTTTGGGACTATTTTAAAAGTCATAGATATCAGTTTCACACCAGATTATGTAAGAAAACCCCTATGGCATTTTGGGATGAATCGCTGTAATCATAATCAGATTTTGTTTTTGTACTGCCGTTGGAAGTAACAAACTATGAATTTGCTTTGGCTCAAGGTGCAAACAAGCTGTAAGAGTAAAAAATAGAAACGAGGCTTGCAGGAAAACATCAAGAAAGTCATGCTTTTAAAACCTTAAGTACTAAGAAGGGCCTAGGTCTGAGAGAGGTGTGTATGAAGGGGGAAAAAAAACAAGGAATAAGGAAGAAGAGATTTTAACCGCACTTAAAAAAACGCCACAACCTTTTGTCCTATGATCATACTTGCTTGTCCATGCGTACTGTAAGTCTGTCTGAATCCCATCCAGTCAAAGCTGCCGTGGCTCCTGTTTTTTTGCCTCCTCAAAGCCAGAGTGCAGCTCGTGAAAGCCGCACAACACCTGGTTGACAACACAAACAGGAAGTGGTGCCAGCAGCCACTGTCCCGGCGGCGAGGGTAACGAGAGCGCGGTGAAAAAGTCGCTGCCAAGAGTTCACAAGCCGCAGCCGCCAGTTCAAAGGCACCGGCCTCCTTTGTTTCCACTGGCTCCAAACGACACGTGCCGTCCACACCATCTGCACCAAAGCGGCGGCGGCAGCAACTCACACGAGTCACGGTAAGACTAAACAAAAACAAACGCAAATCAAATGTTTAGTCGTGATCCTGACAAAGGCGATGGAGATTTGATAGTTCCTTATTCCATGGCTGTAAAGAAAATGTATAGAATATGATGTCATGTGATTGCATTGTCTGCAGATGGGAACTAGCTGTTTAGCTATAATCTGGTGCAGAACATATCTGTCTTTGATCTTAATGTCTCTGTACACTGTCCCTTCAAATAAAGACTAAACTAAACTATTAAATCTGGGGTATCTAACTTTTTTCTTCCCCCCATAAAAATCAATATTTTTTCATCCAATTCCGAAAGAAATTGTCAAAGCATACATACTGTATCATCAATACTTTTAATGTTGTTATTATACACCATACTTATGTAGGGTTTTTTCTTTTTTTTTGGCACTTTGCAAAAGGATAAATAGGAAACAAAATAAAAAGTAAGCCTCGATCCTCCAGTTTCAGAAAGCTCAAAGTTCAGAAGGCTCGGTCCTCAGGGTTCAGAAGACCCGGTCCTCAGGGTTCAGAAGACCCGGTCCTCAGGGTTCAGAAGGCTCGGTCCTCAGGGTTCAGAAGGCTCGGTCCTCAGGGTTCAGAAGGCTCGGTCCTCAGGGTTCAGAAGGTTCGGTCCTCAAGGTTCAGAAAGCTCGGTCCTCGGGGTTCAGAAAGCTCGGTCCTCAGGGTTCAGAAGGCTCGGTCCTCAGGTTTCAGAAGGCTCTGTCCTCAGGGTTCAGAAGACCCGGTCCTCAGGGTTCAGAAGACCCGGTCCTCATGTTTCAGAAGGCTCGGTCCTCAGGGTTCAGAAGGCTCGGTCCTCAGGTTTCAGAAGGCTCGGTCCTCAGGGTTCAGAAGGCTCGGTCCTCAGGTTTCAGAAGGCTCGGTCCTCAGGGTTCAGAAGACCCGGTCCTCATGTTTCAGAAGGCTCGGTCCTCAGGGTTCAGAAGGCTCGGTCCTCAGGTTTCAGAAGGCTCGGTCCTCAGGGTTCAGAAGGCTCGGTCCTCAGGGTTCAGAAGACCCGGTCGTCAGGGTTCAGAAGGCTGGGTCCTCGGGGTTCAGCAGGCTCGGTCCTCGGGGTTCAGAAGGCTCGGTCCTCAGGGTTCAGAAGGCTCGGGGTTGAATAAAGTGAATCTAATTTTATCTCAAGTCTGGATGTGATGAAGGCTTGAATTGGTATTTCTTTCAGTGACTAAATACATGAAGACATAAAATCACAAAAAACAATCTAAATAAATACATAATTCAATGCACAGTTGGTATTCCACAGTCCCTCAGGCCAACGTTTCAGGAGGCGGTCGTTACTCAGGAATGTCATCAGTTTACATGAGAGCTTGTTGGAGCCAGTTTTATGGACACGGCAATAAGGCCACACACTGCAACGTGAGCTCATTCTTTATTCACCCTCATTATGTCCAGCCGGCCTTCTGGGCTTGTAAAACTTTTATCTCCAACAACAATGCTTCTCCAGAATACAGGCATGTTTCTTGTATTCGCAATGTAATCCAATTCGGGGCAATAAAACAGTTATTATCATGCTGTTTTCCTCTTACAGCCCCAAGGTTATCTGTGGGGGATGTCGCTGGAGTGGAGCAGGTTGAAGGAAAATACACAGACCGTGGACTAAGATAAGCAGGCTCTGACCTACTGTGACCCATGCATGTTTTGTGTGACATGGGATTATGTCGTTTCATCTCGACTAAAGAGAATACCTTGACTTTCTGTGTGGTAGAATAAGCAAAATAGGTCCAGAGTGATTCAGAATATATGGAAGTGACAGTGTAGGTTTACCCTTAGAAACAAGCAGGAAAAGTATGAATAAAAGTCTTGATTGAGACTTTTACTGAGTGGCCTGAAGGTCCTGGAGTTTGCATGTTCTTCCCGTGTCTGCGTAAGACACTAAGAAAACATGTACAATAGCCCTGAATGTAATGAGTGAGTGAATGGATGGTGTTTGGTCAGAGGCTTTGATGGTCCAGTGTGTTCGGCGTCTCGCTTCCGTCATCACTGTGTGGAGAGAAGGAAACATTATCTGAACTCTGAACATTGTAAAGTGCTTTGGGTCTGTAAAAATACGCTAAAAACGCTACGTTCACTTTGATTCAAAAACAAGAAAACATTGATTCAAAAAGGTTCATTTTGCCTTGAGTTAAAATGCTTTATTTTGGTTCTTTTTAGATGTATTACCTTGTTAACATGTCTTGAGGTGTCATTTATCAGCCGATGTTACTTCCTGAGTAGGCGTGGTCTAGCATTTTGGTCTAGCTAATTTCAATCCCATACTAAAAAAGTCTTGTGCAATATCTCTGCTGTTCACATAAACATATACACATAAACTGATCCATCCAGGTTAAGTAGCTATAGCATGCTTGTTTGCCATCAAAATAGATAAATGATCAGTAAATGAGTGCTGACAGGGAAGCTAAGGTAAGCATGCTAAAGGGATGTAGTGTTGGCCTCCTCAGAGTATATCTTGTTACTTTAAAGCTTTGATCATTACCCGTCAACATGTCATTAATCAATATGTTTTATGTCTCGGCTTTGTTTTCCCTCCATCAGCTGTCGGTCTTCCTGTGGCTTATCTTCAAGTGAGGTCCATATAGGCACCATATACAAGAATACTTAATATGTTTTTTTGGAATGTATGGACCAGGGCAGAAATAAGGGTACAGGACCTCCATACATGCTGTGCCCATTGTAAGCGTGGCAGTGGATCCAATTGGGGGTGGAAAACTTAAAACTATGGCTGTCACATTTAGCATGTAACTTTATTTTAGTTTTGGTCTGATATGAATGGATGTGCTTAAAAGCGTTGTTTGGTGTGTGTGTGTGTGTGTACTTCAGACTCCGAGGACCAAAGGTACTGGTCTCTTGCTGATCCCAGAGCCATGACTAAACACGGGGAGGCTGCATTTCAGATTCATACAACTGCAATCTGGAACCGTCTTCCTGAAAACGTGAGACAGGCTTCCTCTCTGACAACCTTCCAATCCATGTCTAAACAATTCTCTTCCCTTACTTAAATACACTGTGATTATTCATGATTTTAGCGCCTCATGTGGTGGTTTCTATCTTGTTTTATACAAAAACTCTTGCCTCGTCTTGTTTTTACACCACAGTGAAAACAGCGGGAAGAGGACATTACCGTCTCATTTCCTGCGGTTTGTATTACGACCATTTTTAGTCATTTCAATCTTAAGAGCCCAGAACAGCTCTTGTGAACTAAAATAGAAAAGTCCAGTCCGACGGAACACAGCGGCAGAGAATATACCTCATCCTACAGTAAGTCGTGGGTGGCTTCTTTTCAGTATCTCATCATTATGAATTTATAATCACTTCTCCTTCCTGCCGACGGTGCCTCTGAAGACTTGATGACTTTTTTTTGTTCCTACTCCTCCCTGTTGCTTTTTGGACATTTTCCTGTGGATGTGACTGCTGGGAAATAATAGACTTTTGGACGCGAGCTTGCCGGGTACGCAACACTGCTCTCGCTTTCAGTCTGGCAGCTAAAACAAAACAAAAAACTTAAATCCATTTTGAATCAGTCACTTTCAACAGTCCTCATTCTCCCTTCGCTTACGAAATCGCACGTTGACGTTTGTTATAAAGTAACCAGCGAGCACCTTGACAAAGCCGCCTGCCGGTGAATGGCAGTATGGGTTCCTTTGCGCGAAATATATTATACATCTGATGACAGGCGTTGAAGCGTTAAAAGCGGGATGTTTTTTTCCCGGCCTTGGATCAAAATGGTCCGTTCATTACTATAATTGGCTTGGAGCGAGAAGGCGTGGGTCTCTCCGTGTGTGTCACGATGCTTGTGGCGGGTTTGAAAGGAGATCCGCGGCTGCTGCTGTGACTCTAACGCTGATAAAAAAGAAAAAAGTTTGAACCGGTCTTGCAGATCAGTCCTCCCGCAATTATAAGCGGTTGGTGGCAATATTGAAATCAATAAATCCCTATTTATGTGCAGCTCTAATTGGAGTTAATTTCTAGTTTTTGGCTTTAAATAGATTTTAATTTTTTTCCATAATTGGCTAAAAAAATTGTCTTGAGGGGAGTGACTATAATTACTCCCCCTGCGATGATTATGGGCGGCACGATAATGCAGTGGTTAGTGCGAGTTTGCATGTTCTTCCCATGTCTCTGCAGGTTTCCTCCGGGTGCTCCGGTTTCGCCTAAAACCCGTGCATGCGCCGGAAATGTAGACTGAAATGTATTTTGTAGGTGTAATGCAACATTTAAACGCGTTCAGACATTTGTTAGTTTATGTGCCTTGTCCTCATCAAAAAACTAAAAATATACGCACAAATTTTGCAAAATTTTTAACTTATTTATGTAATTTCTGAGTCTTTTGGGGAGCTCCTTCCAACAGGGTGGTGGGCTCTTGGTAGCTCCTGGTAGCCACTGGGCTGTAGGTCGGAGAGAAATTGTTATGGTTATTATTATTTTAACTTAACATGTTATTTTCTCGAATTTATGCAGACGTTTTTCCACCCACTGAAAGCTAAATTCTCTCACTTTCTTCCAAGGTCTTTCAAAGTAGATAGTTAGAATTCTGTGAAAGCCTGTGAAGTTAAGCAGGGCAAGAATCAGCGACTGCTACCAGTTGCTACCGATGCAGAAAAGTGCTCGACACTTCACCCAAATTAACACAAACAGTTACCCCATTCAAATAAAAAGTACATCGCTATTCAAGGCCCAACATTTCAGCTCTTACCAACACACACACTTTCACAGTTAGATTCATTTCCGAAGTTATTTTCTCTTCTGCAGAAACTTGAGCAGGAATACCAACACAAGAACACCATTAGCCAAAAGGGAAATAAGCACATTCTTGGTGTTTACCACTTCAACAACAAGCCATTTCTCTCACTCAGCGCTCCCAGAGAAGCGGCCGCCGTGTCTGACAAAGCTTTGCCTTCTCCCCGCATCTATTCATCGGCACCGAGCATGTAAGAAGTCACAGAATCTCCTCTTTCAGCACATCCCAGCGCGGCGCCCATGGTACACTCGATCCCCTTTGTGTGCCGGTGTAAGAGGGCACCATAAAAAGACAATATGGAGAAAGTGGAGTCCCTATACCAGAGTCCCTGTGTGCTGCATTCCGGGCGGAGTTATTGCAGAGTTTTTGCACTAGTAGTGGTTTCTATCTTGGCAGGAAATCTAAAAATAAACAGAAAAGAAGTCTTAGAACACAGACCTCCTGCATCAGAGACACATGTATTTATTAAAGTTAAAGGCAGTGACTTTTTTTTGTTTAGGGAGTGTCAAACTGCATGAAGACAAGGCCCGGATAGACCCGCCCATGTTCCCAACTGCAGCCTCCCGATTGGTCAAAATTCTAATCCGTGTCGCCTCTCGTCATCGGTTCAAGTATTCTTCCCTAGCAAATCTTACGGGTTGTAGTTTGGCCAATGGGAGACACTTTTTTTTAAAACCTGTAGAACCCAGATATAAAAATATGTATACATTTTTTTAAAAGATCTATGGTACAGCAGCCTGGTTGTACCACACCATCGTACAAATTACATGCAGGGAAATTATAATTGACCGGAGTTTACGGATGACTATGGTCCAGGCTAAAAAAACACCATTCAATGACCAAATTCAGCAATGTAGCAGCAATTTGCGTTAGGTTCACACATTGCATCAAAAAAAAAAAAAAAGTCAAACTTATTTTGTCATAAGCTGTTGTGTGAACTTTATGTTGCATACTTGTAACGAAGGGTGCTATAGGCTTAAACATATATGGAAAATACTGTATAAATTGATATCCCACAATGTCCTCTTCATTTAGAAAGCAGCTCGTTACTGGGTTTGCTTTGAGCTTGTCACCTCTGTCACCTGCGTCTGCTCCAGAGAAAAAAGCACTTGAGGTACATCAGAAGTGTATGACCTCATATGTATGTACAGCACAGAGCCCGAGATTCATTCAAAGCTTTTCTCCATGGCCTCTGTGTGTTCAGTTTTTAAAGGTCTTTGTGAGGAGCTTGGCCTTGGGTTACATTAAGATTAATAAGAAAATAGAAAGATATTAAAGATAAAAATGTCAAAGCTAGTGATAAACAACTGTGCCTGGACAAAGACATATACAACAGACAAGGATAATTCTTACACGCAACGCAAGGAGAGCCTGCACGGTCACGGCACATCTCTGATCTTGGTGCTGTGACCGTGCGTGCACTGAACTCCATTGTATTACAGGGCCATTTATTTAGACACACAGATCAGCCATTTTAGCCTAAAAAGGTTTCCAGTCTTATCTCCTGCTGACAACCCAAAAGTCACTTCACAACCCAAACTTGTGACATATTGACATCCATTAACAATGCAAACATGAAAGACAACGGCTAGCAGGTAACTCATTGACCTGTTAACATGCAGTCACCTTAATCACAGTGAACCTTGACAACACAGTTTAAAGACACTGCATTAAATATTCATTACAATGATATTACTTTTATAATTCTATCACAACAAATGATTTATTCTCATTCACCTTCAAAATGCAGACCGTTTTGATATTTCAGTTAAATTATATTCACAGATAAACATTACATTTATTTAGATATTTAGACAAATACAGTATGCCCTGAAAGTCTTTTTTTCTTTACCAATATATAGTCA